CCAACAGAAATATCGTGAGATGAATGAAATAAGTAAAAGACTGCTCTAGTGATTCTTAAATAAATGCATGCACTGCCGCCAACGAGATTCGAACTCGCGACCTTTGGTTTACGAGACCAACGCTCTAGCCACTGAGCTATAGCGGCTTCAGGCAACTTGCACTTTTACTTGCCAACAGAAATATCGTGAGATGAATGAAATAAGTAAAAGACTGCTCTAGTGATTCTTAAATAAATGCATGCACTGCCGCCAACGAGATTCGAACTCGCGACCTTTGGTTTACGAGACCAACGCTCTAGCCACTGAGCTATAGCGGCTTCAGGCAACTTGCACTTTTACTTGCCAACAGAAATATCGTGAGATGAATGAAATAAGTAAAAGACTGCTCTAGTGATTCTTAAATAAATGCATGCACTGCCGCCAACGAGATTCGAACTCGCGACCTTTGGTTTACGAGACCAACGCTCTAGCCACTGAGCTATAGCGGCTTCAGGCAACTTGCACTTTTACTTGCCAACAGAAATATCGTGAGATGAATGAAATAAGTAAAAGACTGCTCTAGTGATTCTTAAATAAATGCATGCACTGCCGCCAACGAGATTCGAACTCGCGACCTTTGGTTTACGAGACCAACGCTCTAGCCACTGAGCTATAGCGGCTTCAGGCAACTTGCACTTTTACTTGCCAACAGAAATATCGTGAGATGAATGAAATAAGTAAAAGACTGCTCTAGTGATTCTTAAATAAATGCATGCACTGCCGCCAACGAGATTCGAACTCGCGACCTTTGGTTTACGAGACCAACGCTCTAGCCACTGAGCTATAGCGGCTTCAGGCAACTTGCACTTTTACTTGCCAACAGAAATATCGTGAGATGAATGAAATAAGTAAAAGACTGCTCTAGTGATTCTTAAATAAATGCATGCACTGCCGCCAACGAGATTCGAACTCGCGACCTTTGGTTTACGAGACCAACGCTCTAGCCACTGAGCTATAGCGGCTTCAGGCAACTTGCACTTTTACTTGCCAACAGAAATATCGTGAGATGAATGAAATAAGTAAAAGACTGCTCTAGTGATTCTTAAATAAATGCATGCACTGCCGCCAACGAGATTCGAACTCGCGACCTTTGGTTTACGAGACCAACGCTCTAGCCACTGAGCTATAGCGGCTTCAGGCAACTTGCACTTTTACTTGCCAACAGAAATATCGTGAGATGAATGAAATAAGTAAAAGACTGCTCTAGTGATTCTTAAATAAATGCATGCACTGCCGCCAACGAGATTCGAACTCGCGACCTTTGGTTTACGAGACCAACGCTCTAGCCACTGAGCTATAGCGGCTTCAGGCAACTTGCACTTTTACTTGCCAACAGAAATATCGTGAGATGAATGAAATAAGTAAAAGACTGCTCTAGTGATTCTTAAATAAATGCATGCACTGCCGCCAACGAGATTCGAACTCGCGACCTTTGGTTTACGAGACCAACGCTCTAGCCACTGAGCTATAGCGGCTTCAGGCAACTTGCACTTTTACTTGCCAACAGAAATATCGTGAGATGAATGAAATAAGTAAAAGACTGCTCTAGTGATTCTTAAATAAATGCATGCACTGCCGCCAACGAGATTCGAACTCGCGACCTTTGGTTTACGAGACCAACGCTCTAGCCACTGAGCTATAGCGGCTTCAGGCAACTTGCACTTTTACTTGCCAACAGAAATATCGTGAGATGAATGAAATAAGTAAAAGACTGCTCTAGTGATTCTTAAATAAATGCATGCACTGCCGCCAACGAGATTCGAACTCGCGACCTTTGGTTTACGAGACCAACGCTCTAGCCACTGAGCTATAGCGGCTTCAGGCAACTTGCACTTTTACTTGCCAACAGAAATATCGTGAGATGAATGAAATAAGTAAAAGACTGCTCTAGTGATTCTTAAATAAATGCATGCACTGCCGCCAACGAGATTCGAACTCGCGACCTTTGGTTTACGAGACCAACGCTCTAGCCACTGAGCTATAGCGGCTTCAGGCAACTTGCACTTTTACTTGCCAACAGAAATATCGTGAGATGAATGAAATAAGTAAAAGACTGCTCTAGTGATTCTTAAATAAATGCATGCACTGCCGCCAACGAGATTCGAACTCGCGACCTTTGGTTTACGAGACCAACGCTCTAGCCACTGAGCTATAGCGGCTTCAGGCAACTTGCACTTTTACTTGCCAACAGAAATATCGTGAGATGAATGAAATAAGTAAAAGACTGCTCTAGTGATTCTTAAATAAATGCATGCACTGCCGCCAACGAGATTCGAACTCGCGACCTTTGGTTTACGAGACCAACGCTCTAGCCACTGAGCTATAGCGGCTTCAGGCAACTTGCACTTTTACTTGCCAACAGAAATATCGTGAGATGAATGAAATAAGTAAAAGACTGCTCTAGTGATTCTTAAATAAATGCATGCACTGCCGCCAACGAGATTCGAACTCGCGACCTTTGGTTTACGAGACCAACGCTCTAGCCACTGAGCTATAGCGGCTTCAGGCAACTTGCACTTTTACTTGCCAACAGAAATATCGTGAGATGAATGAAATAAGTAAAAGACTGCTCTAGTGATTCTTAAATAAATGCATGCACTGCCGCCAACGAGATTCGAACTCGCGACCTTTGGTTTACGAGACCAACGCTCTAGCCACTGAGCTATAGCGGCTTCAGGCAACTTGCACTTTTACTTGCCAACAGAAATATCGTGAGATGAATGAAATAAGTAAAAGACTGCTCTAGTGATTCTTAAATAAATGCATGCACTGCCGCCAACGAGATTCGAACTCGCGACCTTTGGTTTACGAGACCAACGCTCTAGCCACTGAGCTATAGCGGCTTCAGGCAACTTGCACTTTTACTTGCCAACAGAAATATCGTGAGATGAATGAAATAAGTAAAAGACTGCTCTAGTGATTCTTAAATAAATGCATGCACTGCCGCCAACGAGATTCGAACTCGCGACCTTTGGTTTACGAGACCAACGCTCTAGCCACTGAGCTATAGCGGCTTCAGGCAACTTGCACTTTTACTTGCCAACAGAAATATCGTGAGATGAATGAAATAAGTAAAAGACTGCTCTAGTGATTCTTAAATAAATGCATGCACTGCCGCCAACGAGATTCGAACTCGCGACCTTTGGTTTACGAGACCAACGCTCTAGCCACTGAGCTATAGCGGCTTCAGGCAACTTGCACTTTTACTTGCCAACAGAAATATCGTGAGATGAATGAAATAAGTAAAAGACTGCTCTAGTGATTCTTAAATAAATGCATGCACTGCCGCCAACGAGATTCGAACTCGCGACTTTGGTTTACGAGACCAACGCTCTAGCCACTGAGCTACAGCAGCTTCAGGCAACTCTCACTTTTACTTGCCAACAGAAATATTGTGAGATGAATGAAATAAGTTAAAGATGTCTCTAGTGTTCTTAAATAAACGCATGCACTGCCGCCAACGAGATTCGAACTCGCGACATTTGGTTTACGAGACCAACGCTCTAGCGGCTTCAGGCAACTCTCACTTTTACTTGCCAACAGAAATATCGTGAGATGAATGAAATAAGTAAAAGATGTCTCTAGTGTTCTTAATAAATGCATGCACTGCCGCCAACGAGATTCGAACTCGCGACCTTTGGTTTACGAGACCAACGCTCTAGCCACTGAGCTATAGCGGCTTCAGGCAACTTGCACTTTTACTTGCCAACAGAAATATCGTGAGATGAATGAAATAAGTAAAAGACTGCTCTAGTGTTCTTAAATAAATGCATGCACTGCCGCCAACGAGATTCGAACTCGCGACCTTTGGTTTACGAGACCAACGCTCTAGCCACTGAGCTATAGCGGCTTCAGGCAACTCTCACTTTTACTTGCCAACAGAAATATCGTGAGATGAATGAAATAAGTAAAAGACTGCTCTAGTGATTCTTAAATAAATGCATGCACTGCCGCCAACGAGATTCGAACTCGCGACCTTTGGTTTACGAGACCAACGCTCTAGCCACTGAGCTATAGCGGCTTCAGGCAACTTGCACTTTTACTTGCCAACAGAAATATCGTGAGATGAATGAAATAAGTAAAAGACTGCTCTAGTGATTCTTAAATAAATGCATGCACTGCCGCCAACGAGATTCGAACTCGCGACCTTTGGTTTACGAGACCAACGCTCTAGCCACTGAGCTATAGCGGCTTCAGGCAACTTGCACTTTTACTTGCCAACAGAAATATCGTGAGATGAATGAAATAAGTAAAAGACTGCTCTAGTGATTCTTAAATAAATGCATGCACTGCCGCCAACGAGATTCGAACTCGCGACTTTGCGTTTACGAGACCAACGCTCTAGCCACTGAGCTATAGCGGCTTCAGGCAACTTGCACTTTTACTTGCCAACAGAAATATCGTGAGATGAATGAAATAAGTAAAAGACTGCTCTAGTGGTTCTTAAATAAATGCATGCACTGCCGCCAACGAGATTCGAACTCGCGACCTTTGGTTTACGAGACCAACGCTCTAGCCACTGAGCTATAGCGGCTTCAGGCAACTTGCACTTTTACTTGCCAATAGAAATATCGTGAGATGAATGAAATAAGTAAAAGATCTCTCTAGTGGTTCTTAAATAAATGCATGCACTGCCGCCAACGAGATTCGAACTCGCGACCTTTGGTTTACGAGACCAACGCTCTAGCCACTGAGCTATGCGCTTCAGGCAACTTGCACTTTTACTTGCCAACAGAATATCGTGAGATGAATGAAATAAGTAAAAGACTGCTCTAGTGATTCTTAAATAAATGCATGCACTGCCGCCAACGAGATTCGAACTCGCGACCTTTGGTTTACGAGACCAACGCTCACTGAGCATAGCGGCTTCAGGCAACTTGCACTTTTACTTGCCAACAGAAATATCGTGAGATGAATGAAATAAGTAAAAGACTTGCTCTAGTGGTTCTTAAATAAATGCATGCACTTGCGCCAACGAGATTCGAACTCGCGACCTTTGGTTTACGAGACCAACGCTCTAGCCACTGAGCTATAGCGGCTTCAGGCAACTTGCACTTTTACTTGCCAACAGAAATATCGTGAGATGAATGAAATAAGTAAAAGTCTGCTCTAGTGATTCTTAAATAAATGCATGCACTGCCGCCAACGAGATTCGAACTCGCGACCTTTGGTTTACGAGACCAACGCTCTAGCCACTGAGCTATAGCTTCAGGCAACTTGCACTTTTACTTGCCAAAGAAATATCGTGAGATGAATGAAATAAGTAAAAGATGCTCTTAGTGATTCTTAAATAAACATGCTGCCGCCAACGAGATTCGAACTCGCGACCTTTGGTTTACGAGACCAACGCTCTAGCCT